GTGTTATATTAATTTTGATCCCGAAACTACTAGCAAATAGAACTACTGTTGGTACAATGTCTCTGTACGTTCATGAGATGGGCGTGTCAGGCACCGCACTTGTGGTAGCTAAATGTTCATGATCACTGTCTATCATTGTATTATTGTCACTATCAACTTTATCTAATTCAGGAATCATTATTTCATCGCCACTATCATCATCAGCACAAATCTCCTTCACAACACTTTCCAGCTGGTTTGTAGGAACACGCCGACACTTGCTGCGAGAAACCATGGTGAAACTGAATGAATGTGAAATATGTTCTGACCTTTTCCTTCTCAGAGGGTTCTGACAGTAATATAGACCCCCACAAAGTTTACAAGGGTTCTTTACAAACATGTTCAAAAACTATCATATATATGTCTTTGGTTGATGAGTGCCAAGAGAGCAAAGAAGGGAAGAGATTGTCAAAGCGTTAAAACACGCCAACGCCAGGGAACAGCTGGCATCGTCCGGGTGTTAAAACACGCCCGCGCCAGTCAAAGAGTTAAGCACATTGTTGACAAGACCCCTGTGTCCCCCCTCAATGAACTAATCTCAGAATTGTAGCTGCAATCGAAACAGTTACACCACAAATTCTGGAGAATTCTTGGAGGGAAACTGAATATCACTTGGACATCTGATGTGCCATGACAGGTGCACAAGCTGAAGATGTTTAGAATTCTGCAGTATTGATTCAACAGGTAATAAAACTTTCTGAGTTACACTTTCATATTCTGTAAGCAGTTTTGTTTTGTTATTTCTGGTTTGAAAATTTATGGACATGGAAACCCCGACAATAATTTAGACTCACCCTATATTACCACGGCTAGCCATATTTATGGATTAACAAGAAAAGAAGTAATGAAACTTACTTATCAGTTTGCAAAGGAATTAAGTACTCTAAATGGTGGGATGTGAATGGCTGATTTTATGAAAAGAAACAACAGTGTCATGTCTTTTGAAAATGCCTCAGGCTTCTAGCCTGGCTAGGACTACTGCTTTTAATAGACCTGTTGTTAAAGTTTTTTTTACAAATTACAGTGAGACTAAAAAATATAAGCTCAGTCCTGAACTTATTTATAATGTTGATGAGAGTGGTCACTGTACAGCTCACAGTCCCCTTTAGTTGTTGCTGTCGATGAGAGTAAATAGGTGAGCAGTGTGCCATCTGAAGGGAGAGGAGTGACCCTCACCATCACTGGATGCATTAATGCCCTGGTGAATTCAATCCCTTCAGTGCTGATATCCACATATGTTCACTTTAAGAACTATATGTTGATCAGTGCACCACCTGGTACACATGAAACATCTCACCCCAGTAATTGGTCAAACAGGGACAAGTTTCTTGAATTTTTGGAGCATTTCATTTATTACACAAAAATGATGAAAGATTGTCAAATTCTCCCACCCTTACAGAATCATGACAGCCATATCACAATGCTGGGGATCTCAAAATGAGGACAGAATATTATCATAATGCTGAAATTTCCTCCTCATACCAGCCGTAAGCTATAGCCATTGAATAATGCATCTAAGTGATAAGAAACATTAAACAGGTGTCATTGTGACTAAGAGTAAGAGATAACCAACAGTGAAAGTTCATGAGGAGGGTCAAGAACAGTTCAGTGTTCGTTTGGCCGCACACAGATGACTCCTGCAAAGGAGAAACCTAAGATATCGTAGTATTTCTACCAGAACAAATTAAGGGTAGAAGAGGCAGCACGATATTTCTTGTTTCATTTCCAGGACTGTTAAGTTGCAGAACTACTTATTAAATTACATTTTATATGCTTTTCATTTATTCTTTTACTCGTATGTATGTGCTTTATAACTGACATAACTTTAGACGATCATCCAAGGTGTGTATTTAATTTTTTTAAACTGAGTCTTTGTGAATTTAAAAGACAGTCAATAAAAATGTTTTAAGTGTTTCAGATTGTTACATTTGCACCAACATAAAGCTTTCTGCCTATTCTGTGTTATCACCAACTGAGTAGCAAAAGGCCTCAAGTCAATTTTTTTTTCAATTGGATTTACACATTCTTTTCGTGTCTCACATTTTGAAAAAAAAACAGTAAGAAAGGGAATAAATCAGACTTTGTGTCTGTTTAAAGCAATCAGTGGTGCAGTGATTGGATACAAATTTATACTTAACAAAAAAATCTTGTCTGAGGCACAAGGGTCTCTCTCTCCTATACAACTGAAATATTATTCTGCATGGAAGTATATTTATAATTCACAAAACATGGCATTAGCATGCTTCAATTGTCACACAGTCTAGTGTAAATTTATGTACCATCATGCAAAAAATCTGAGAATTGTGCCTGCCATCCATTTCCCAAACATTAAAATATTCTAATACATATTTCAGCTTCTATATCTATATTACCCACAGAACGGACAAAATAAACCATAAGATGAGGCACAAACTAAACAATTAATGTCAAAACTATAATACAACTATACCATGGGCCTCCAAGAAGTTTATTACATGTGTACAAGCCTAGAATATACCATTATGTCTGCGGGAATATAACAAATTGCAACAACTGACTTGACATCACAACTGACATCACACGAAAAGTTTATACTTATTTTACGCCATAACTTTCGTTCTTATAATAAGTTTACAGTTCATTGTATTTTTTACCATGTATTTTATAATATAATAGTTATCAAGTATCCAGCTTCACCATCGCAACTGCAGTTCAGTAGTGTGTGAATATGGTGATCATGTGTTTGCCTGATGATGGCTTTAATAGCCGAAACATGTAGCTAAGCTAATTTTAGCCTTCACCATTGTATTGTGGTGTTGCGACGGACTCTAATAAAGAATTGTATATAACACAACAGGATGCACAAAATGAAAATTATTTCAACTTCCCTTCATTACCCTTAAATATGCATGTTCAAAAAATTCATCACACTTATTTAAATTAAAAGACGTTACTGTAATGGTTATTTTCCTTGAGCCCTTGAAAACAACAGTAATGAAATCACCAAAGATTATCCAACCCCTGTATTAAAGATAGGGCCTATACATATCAAAAGAGAGCTTCTTTAAGATATTACATGACACATTTATGTACCCCATATTCCATATAAAGAGAAATCCCTTATAATAAGGGCCAAAAACTGATACCTTTTATGTTCTACTTATTTTACAGTCAACAGCAAAAAATTTGTACTGGATCTATAGCAGAAGTTCACAGCATTCTGTTTTCCAAGTGTAAAATAAGTAGCTACTGTACAAGTAAATGTAACTGTATCCATCCCTCTGCATAATTAAACACCTCATAATGCACAAAATACTCTACACAGTATTAATCTCAGCACTAAACAAAGGCCAGTGGTCAGTTGCATGTTGCAAAAGAACAACTACCTGTATCAAGAAAGATATCCAGATCACTATCAGAAAGGGCAAGGCCAGACAAACGTGATCCAAAAGAAATTGCCTTGCACCCTGGGAAGACTGCAGAAAACAATGTTTCCAGAAACTGACACACCTGTTTGTCTTTCTTTTGATTGGACACATAAGAGGTTGTGTTGCACAAAGCATCCAGTGTCTCTTGAAGGCTTTGTCTAGATGCATGTGCTGAGACCACATTTTCATGGACCACTTCAGCAACTGTAAAAATGTAACAGTCATGAATACATCCCACAATTTCACTAAGTCAGTGTCAGTATCCTGGTCAGCTGACATTAAAATGTCACTAAACAAGGATGATGCAAGAAATTTTCACAGACTTTCATTTCAAGCTCCTGTATGATCACTGGAATGAACACAGGTTACTACACACTCTGGACATTATCTGCATAGTCGTGTGAGACAGAATAGCAACGCATACAAACCTAATGGGGGAAAACCATATGACAGACCTAGCTGCAGATGGAAGGATATTACACCAGAAACCTTGGTCAGAATAGACTATAATGGCAGGCTCTTGTGAATACAGTAACAAACCATGGGCTCCATAAAAGTGGGTAATTTCTTTAAAAGCTGAGGGACTATTAGTTTTACAAGAAAGAATACTATATTGTGTTTTTTAGTCTACTTAGAAATACAGTTAGATTTCCATCATGTCTTCTTCAGCACATCAGCCATGGTCTCCACTATGGGAGAAAATTTATGCAGCACAAACAAACCTACCAGCCCTTAGCCAGATTCAACCAATGATCCTGATGTTACAGCAACTCAAAACATACTCAACTATACACAGCTAGGACTGTTTGCAAACTGTGTTCAGTACTGTAACAGCAGTATCCAAGTGTACTATTATCATGTAATTGCTCAATTCTGGTAAATAAGGTTCATAATTAACCCTTAACATACCTTGTGAGGAACCTCCCTTGGAGTCTACAGATCTGGCAGAATGCACAGTGCCTAGAACAATGTTTTAACATGTCACACACTACAAACCATTTGAACACAAAATGTCTAGTCACTTAGACCTGCTAAAACCAAGCAAACTGACTCAAGCAGTAATGATTCTGACCTGTATTCGGGAGGCGGCAAGTTTGAATCATAGCTGGGACATACACTAAACTGACTTGAGACTTTTAATGGTTTTCCTCAGTTCCTCCAGGCAAATGAACTAGTAGCTCAAATGAACCCCCAACTTCTTTCTTCCACATCTTTTCTAACTCACTAATTACCATCATCCTACCATCTGACACTACAGAGTCTGACATGCTGACAGTCTCATTAAACAAGCCATGAATAAATGAATGAATAAATAAATAAATACAGTACATCATAAACAATTTTGCCTCCTTGTCAGATGAGAATAGGATATATAATTATCATTTCATGACAAACAACATTTCAATATTATTAAGAATTACAAGCCTTTATTTTGGATTTGAGATTCCGTACTTCTAGACATAAGCCTTTTTTGTCAATAAGCAAAGCAATTTCAACACTTGTTCATACTTATCAATACTACTAACATAATGATAAACTTACCTTGATGATTATAATATGTTAGTGTCTTCACAGTCAGTGCAGCATTTGCAAGGAACAATGGTTTTTCTTGTGTCCTTTTTACAGCATCGCTGTGGCGATAAAAATCAATTTACATATGAACATGTGATGAAAGACTGAAATACTTGCATGTGGGCAATGTGTACATGAATGATCATGCAGGAACTCGTTCTCTAGCTTGCAGTGCCACAATGAAGATATCTACTAATTCATGAAGGTCTAGAATATGAGTTCAGGAGGTCATACTTATTCATAAAGAATTCCACAGAACTTAAAATCTCATTGTCAGTTATAGTTATACAAGAAAATTTTCTTTACTTTTCTTTTTAAATAACAAAAACCTTATGAAAAAGAGCTTGCAAATAAGCAAATTTATGTTTCACACAATTTAACGTTGTAATTTTAATTTTTTAATCCAGGAACCAGGAGAGCATAGTTAGTATAGCGACAGGCTATGAGCTGGACAACAGAGAGGTCAGAGTTTGAGTCCTGGTAGGGTCAAGAATTTTCTCTTCTCCACATTGTCCAGACCGGCTCCAGAGCCCACCCAGCCTCCTATCCAATGGGTACCAGGGGCTCTTTCCCCGGAGGTATAACAGCCAGGGTATGAAGCTGACCACTCACCTCCAACTAGTGCCAAGGTCAAGAAAACGTGGATTTATACATCCACTCCCCCATACGCCTTAATTCATAGTGCTTAATTAGTTGAGCACAGGGACAACTTTACCTTTGTACCTTAATTTTTTAATCCAAAGAAAGGGATTTAACAAATGTAAATTCTTCACAGAAAATGTCAACAGTGATTACTCTTCCTACCTGCCCAAAAGTCACATAGCTAAGCTTTATCAATGAACATTTGAAATGTGAGAAGTCAAACAGAGGATACTATATGAAACTTGGTTCAATAGTTTGAAGATAATTAACATGGGACAGACATGGACAGAGTATCTGGGTGAGCCCATAAAGCTTGATAATGTCCTGAGGTAAGTAGGCTATAATATATCCACCAACACTGAGAGTTTTGCTAATAAGAAATAACATTTTCATCAGTAAGCATAACCATTATGTAAGAACACATGTAATGAAGTGACACTAGCCTACACAGGATCGAAACATTGCACAGACATGAAACTAAGCAAAACAAATGAAATGTGCTTGCATATACCCCATGTCAGTAGAATCTGCTACCAATGTGGAAGGTTACTAGCTGCATGAACACAGATCTGCTGATATATGATTTTGACACTGTGACAAATCATACCATATAATTATGCATTAATTCAAAAGAATGGAATTTTATGTTTTCCATACTTAATCTGAAAGCCTTCTATAGTGTTCCTGAAGACAGTATAAAAATGAACACAATTAAGGAGACCTCAGTCAGGTACGAACATTGGAACTCATATAAATTTGCAAAAGAGGACACTGAAACATTGGAGCTGACACATTACACTTTTCATACATAGAATGTTAAATTTTTTTGTCAGATTATAGTACCAAATTTCATATTCCATGACAAATCAGACCATCATTCTGGTATTATGTAACAGATATTAAATACTGAGCTGATGTCACAGATGACCTTAGAAGACTTATGCCAAGAAATCCATGAATAAAACATGGAGATCTGTGAGGAAATTTTCACACTTTAAGCAAAATAAATTCAACTGAGCATTACATAATGAAATGTTCTGTATTTACTTAAAAGTGCTGAGAGTTATATCTCACGTTCTCTGCACTGCATTCTGTTTGTCATGTAAGAATAAAAACAGCTTCTTATCAAAAATTATAATGGGTTTCCAGACTCAAGAAAATTTGACAAGTACACTCTCAGGACACTCTTAGTTGTTGGCGTATTATCTGCTGCTTCTTGGGCTAATAAACAAAAGCAAATCATATGTGACTAGCAGACTAGACTGCCTACCATTAAGAGCAATGTATGGCCGCACCACAGCTCAAGCAGTTAGTCACTGGCTTCCCACCGCGGCAGCCCGGGTTTGATCCCGGGTCTGGTCAAGTGGAATTTGTGGTGGACAAAGTGGTGCTGGGGCAGGTTTTCTCCGAGTACTTCGGTTTCCTTTGCCAATCTTCATTCCACCAACTGCTCCACACTCACCCTCACCTATCATCTGGGGCTTGTACAATAGGCCAGAAGTGGCCGCAGTAGAAGGGATTAAGTCCCACCCCACTAGCATTAAAAAAAAAAACAGCAATGTGTAATGAATTTAAAGTACTCACCGTTCAACAAATTCAATTACAGCTGATTCACTACCAACAGCAACAAAACATACAGTGCCAAAATCACTGAAGAAGTTATACAGAAGATCCATTCCCACACGTTTAGGATAACCTGTGGAATAAATAACAAGTGAAACTGCAATTTTAAAATGATCTTTTGCATATTTCTCACTATGCATGCCAGTCCATTACTAGACCAACTGTGCTTAACCCTTTAAAGGGTTTTTCACTTTTAAACATGGCGGACCGTTCGTCTGTTAACAGGCTTTTAAAACATGATAAGTTGCAACACACTATACATCTCTCTGGCGCCACCAAAGTTGCACGCAATGGTGTAATAAAACTCTGGAGTATTCGCTTACTTGTCAGTAAGTTGATCTCGCTGTTTTCTTAAGCCACTATAAGCGATAATGCTTTGTTACTCTTCAAGCTGTATGTTTCAGCCAGTAGTTAGTGTTGGGGTATGGACAAGGACAAATTCTTTTCCGATGAGCCAGCTGACCTGCCTTGTGAGATGCGTAGTTATGGTGTTTGAGAGAGCAGCAGTGACAGGGGAGAGCAAAGAATTGTGGCCACTTGTGGCCACAGACAGTAAAAGTCACAGTAGCTCTGACGATAATGGGCGTAATAACACTGCGGTGACTAACACTGCGGGTACAGTAAAAAATTTAAAAAATCACAAAAATCTAAACCCTGATTTGAAATTGAAATACACAGCATTTCTGATGAATGTGGCAAAGCCCTGGGCTACAGACCAGACGGTGGTGGCAGAACCAGAGTCAGACACAGACTTATTGCGACCGTGCCCATCCAATCCCACCCCACGCAAGCCTCATTTGGATCACACAAGGTGACTCTCGGGTGATATGCGGAAACATAACCTTGGGAAAATTGTGAAGAGTGAACATTCCAAGGGGAAGCATCTTTCTAGGTAATGCCGTGTTTCCACAGTTCACAAAAAAAGGAGCATGTCTACATTTGCAAGTTCTCTGGAATGCGAC